CCCCCCCCCCCCCCCCCTTGGTATGCACGGTTGTGTTATTCAGGAAAACCCGAACGAGAGCCGTAGCAACTACCGGAGAGCCGAGCAAGGCATTCGGATACGCGGGAGCTGAAGCTGAACGGCATTGGCTCAGCTGGAGCGAACAAGATTCATCATGATCGTCTCACCTCGTCACCAGCAGCGGCGGTTGTTGGGCTATGAAGGAGGCATGCGGTGCAGAGGATGGGCAGGGTGCTGTCCTCATACACTGTAAGAGGGGAGGGGAGAAGAGAGGAGAGGAGAGGGGAGTTTGACATGAGTCCCGCCGACATTGTGCGCCGAGAAGACCGAACGAATGTAGTTCGACGTTGGTGGCTTGTCGTAGGACCGGAATCGTGGGAGCGGTCGTACACCCACCCTCCTATCAGACTTTGATCCCCAGCGATTGATCCACAAGCAGGAGAGAGAGTTATAGAGAGTTGCGAAACCAACGAGGGTGGTCTTGGAAACATCTAGTCTAGAGTTCGTTTCATGGCCGGGGTTGTTTTGTACTGTACACCCTCGTGGCTGTGCGCTATGTGGCGTCACCAGCACCTTCACCAGCGAAGAAAACATTTTGGTGGCATGAGAACGACAAGCGTGAAGCGCCGCCGTGGAAACCGAATTTCCCGCGTCTTTGCCTACCATTCATCTTCGCCGATCGATCCCTGAACCTTTCAATACACGCGGTTTGCCCCCCGTCTTGCCGCAGGCTTTTGTCGACTTCTTTTTCTGTGTCGGCTGAGCCCGGTTTTGTCCTCAATTGTCGAGAACATGATTCGAATCCTTTTCTGATATTCACGGGTCTCTCACCGGTTTGGCGCTTGTTCCTGTGCTTGTTTCGGAGGCGTTCGCCCCCACCAGGCCATGCGGGGCAATTGGTGCACATGCCTTCACCGTCTGTGACGATGGAAGTGCGGCTTTTTTCTTGGTCAGATGGCTTGGGTTTGAAATGGAGGTGCTGTAAAGCGTGGCAGTGTGTAGACTAGGTGGTGGTGTCGGTGTGTGTGTCTCAGTTAACTGTCTGGCATTGCAGGAAGTCCCCTTTGTTGCGCAGGGTTGTACGAGAGTCACTCCCCTCTTCCCAACGAACCTTCACAGGGCGGTAGCAAACAACGCGCGTGGCCGTGGTGCTTGCGAGCGCTTGCGCTGTCAGTCACCGCTGCCAAACATCGAAGAAGCAAGAACAGCTCGTCGAGGTAACAACCCGTGCTTGGTTTCCTTCCCGAGAGGTTCGATTTTTTTTTTTTCGTCCTGCTTCGAGCCGCGGAAGGGTGGGTGTAGCACTTGTCCAGCAAACCCACTTCGATTCGTCGCTTTGCCCTCCTGAGGAGGCATGGTATGTGCGCACGTGTGCTCAAGGGGGTGGAGGATTTCTCTTTGGCTGCAAGGGGAACAGACGTGCGGGACACGTGTAGGCATCGGTCGTGGCGTGGCGTGTCACACATGTCCCGATTTAGCTTGGTTTCAGGGGGCGGCACGGAGAGCGTGCTGCACGGCCCGCTCTCGCTGGCGGCACACCGGTGGGTCCCGCTTACTTTCTATGTGAACCCCCCACGTGTAGGAATATTGATACCTTTGCAGCTGGCCGCGTGGGCACTCCTCTATTTAAGGTGTGGCGGTGGAAGGTTGGTTGTGGAGGTCTGCGAAACGAAGTTGATTATCCGTCGGAGAGAGAGAGAGACAGAGAGAGAAGTAGAGGCGCGTGGTTTGCTAGGTGCTGTTGCCTCGATAAAGACAGTAGCAGCAGTATTCCCCCCTGCCTCTTGGTTGTGGCGTATATATGCGCGACCGATGGCGAACACCTGTGCTTCTCCCGGCATGTTTCGTTGGCCGGGGAGGGTGATACCGCCGTCGTCACTGCGTGTGGGGGATTTCGCGATGTGCGTTCACGTGTTTTTCTGCTTTTTTCCTTTCTCTCTCCCCTTCCGTGATTCGCCGGGTATCTGGGGTGGAGAGATTCAACCAGTATTCGTTAGGGGCGCCTCCTCTGTGAATTTGATGGCGCATGCTCTCCCGTTGTTTCTGCTGTGCGTGGTTTGTGTTTTTTTGCAAAGGCCGGCTGGGTACGGACGGCCAGATGGCGGAGAAGTTGAAAGAATAATAGCCGAAACAGAGGTTCAGAAAAGAGAGAAGCGACGATCGGGCAGCCAGTGCCGTTTTTGGCGTTTTCACGCACCGTCCTGTGCGATTTGTATCGGCTCTCTTAGTGGCAACACACAAACCCGGGATAAACCTAACGCGGGGGAAGCTTAAGTCTCGCGCAGGCATCGGTCATTTTTTCCTCCTAGCTCCAACTTCAAGCACGACAAGGCTGTGTGAGGAGTCAACGACAAGTGGAACGGAGCTAGCTATCTCCCCTTGCGACGGTGCAACATGCGCCACGCCGCAATGAGAGGTACGGGAGTATGCCGGGAATCACCAGTCGTTTATTTTCGCACTGTTTTTTTGGGGGCGGTTTCCATGCCTGAACTGTGACGGTCTGGCTCCCAACCGTTCCCGGACGCCTTGCACGAGGACACGACACATGGTAAAATCCCTTTTACATGCCACGGTTGTGAGCTGGAAACTTTGCGCACAACAACTTCGAGTTAAAGCTGAGTCCAACCCCTTTCCAATGAATTGAGCGAAACCGTCTTAAAAACCGGCGTGCGATGCGCCGTTTCGGCATCGGTACAGAGTAATGCAACCGACACAAACACACATGGTATGGTGGTCTTGGACAGGGCGCAAATAGACTTATCGTAGCCATCGCCAACCACTCGATATATGGAGCCTTTTGCAAGGGTAATTTTGATGACGAAACAGCCTTGCTTTGCCTCAAGGCTTTTCATACCAATAGGAATCGGAGACGGTTTACCTTCGAGCTGGCTCGTTTCTATTCGTACGAACTCGTGATGTTTTCAAACGTCACGACTGCTTAATCCCTTCCCATCACGGCCAATAGGTTGGGATCTCGTACTTTTTTTTTTTTTCTCCCATCATCGGATTCTGTCTCTGCCCCTCTGGCCTCTATCCTCCACTTCTACTAGCTAGACGACCCAACCGGGGTCACATAGGAGGGGGGGGCTGGACCCCTCCGGCGGTTCCTGCCTGAGGTATTTTTATCGCGAGAAGGGTACAGCAATCCCTTCCCTCGCGACTTACGAAATCGATTATATTTTACTAACAAGCTTTGCAACGTGTCGCTTTCATCCTAGACTAGGATATATTTATATAGTGAGAAAAAAACTCACTCTGCCGGGACTCGAACCCATGACCTGGCCCTGAGAAGACTGCAAGGTTACCCACTAGACCACCGGGGCGACCGGTGTATGCTGTAGTCGTGCAGATAGAAACTCCGGATCAAGGACGGAAACGGTAGCAACAGAAAAAAAAGTGCGTACGTACTTCTACAAAGGCTACTACGTTGCATTCGACTTCGTTTTGGAGTGCTTTCACCGTCGTCCTCCTTCCTTCCAACTCAATCGTTCTCGTGGTCATTTTCACAGCAACCTCTCGGCATTTCCTCTCTAGCCCTGCGTCGTTTGTGGTGGAGAGGGTTGTCTGGCTCGAAGCTCTTGCTCTCTTCCACGCCATTATTCCCTCCTGGACTGCTGCTTTGGTCTCTGTCTTGTCCTCCTCCCGTCCCCTCTCCTCCTTCTTCATCGCTGCCAAACGAATCCCCCTCGTTGCCTTCCTGGTCGAAAAGGTTAGTCTTCCCCATGCCATCTCCTCACGGGGTCCTAGTTAATGGCATTTATATGTGTTTCGTGTTTTCAGCTGCACTGAGACTGACGTACGTCTTCTCATTGGTCAGCCGGTTAGCGCGGCAGATAGATGCCAATATAATAGTCTGATTAAAAACAAACACGGAACGGATGTATCGACTACAACATTTGCGTCCCCCAACAACTAGAAAATACAAAACACCGAAAACAAAACACCCCCACCCAAGTCTCACCACGAATAATGGGGGGACTGTCGCCATAATAAATAGGACGAAAACACCATGCCGCCCCGTCATGGGGTCCCGTGAATGGCATTTAGAAGTGTTCTTGGTTTTCACCCGCACTGAGGCTGACGTCTTTTCATTGGTTAGCCGGTTAGCGCTGTCGATGCTAACACAGTAAATACACGCACACACCCAAACATACATCGCCTATCGCATTGGGACTACATGATAACCCAACCCCAACCCGATATTTGTCTATTGCGTCCCTAAATTTGAAATTAGATACCCTGCTTGGTACGCAAGTAACTGCCGACCATCTTGTGGAGGAAAACAACGTGTGGAGAACGGCGGGAAAAAATAGGTACGCGAGAATAACAGCAGTCCGAAAAGGAACCAATAAACGGGTACAGCTGGGACTACTGCCGTACTGTAGACATACTACTACTGATCGTCCTCGGCAACACATAAAACAAAGTCAGTCACTCCACTAGAGCTAGACTATTTAGTCTAGATAGACTACATGTGGGTACATGATTTTTTTTTTTTCCACGTGGCAATTTGTTTTTGTACCGGGACAGACTTTGGAGATTAGATACGAGGGCGAAGCCCGCTTGTACATGCATGTATGTGTGAATCCATTCTGTGGGTGGTACGCTTTCCAAATGCACCTCTCTGAACTCTGGACCAATGAACCATTTAATGAAGGAAACGAGACACCAGAGCAGACAACTACAATATCATCGAGATTATTGTACAATTCCGCGCTACCTCTACCTATAGCCGAGGATGTTGTGCGAACTAGAGCACAGTAGCTCAGAGTAGGGCGTACCCGCAGCTGCTACACGGGTAATATTAAGGAAAAATAATTACACGCATAGAAAGAGTTCCCATTCGAGATATACCCACAGTAATATCTAACGGGTGAAAGCGCCAGATGAACGCGGTGCAATCGATGCCGTTTCGGAGAGATCTTTCCTGGCCCTCTCTACGGAAAGACTTTTTTGTCAGAGTACTTGCACCTCTCCCGCCCTCGGCTATGGGCTGTTGCAACATTCTGGGTAGTATGACTGAGGATGCAAAGTAAGCCTGCAAAGTAAGCCTGACGTTTCGTGAGACAAGCGCAGTAGAATCGCAACAGCAACAGTTTTGGATTGAACATATTGGGGCGTTGTCGACGAAACGAAACAACGCTGTCCCCGGCGGGTGTGCGTGAACGATCCCTGCTTTCTCGCTCTCTCTCACGTTCCACCCCGCGAAGTTCACTTTCTTGGTCCGAGGCAACGGTAGAAGGAGGCAGTTCATCACCAGTAGCAGCCAACCGCAGTCGACACACGGACAGTATTCAGCAGCACCTACCAGGATCTATTGGCTTGACACGTGAAATATGTCAAACGAATCAGCAAGAAGCAACGACGGCCGTATGCCTAACAACCCTGGGCTCTACCCCAGCCCCAACCCAGCCTCTAGCGCGACCCCTCGCACCATCAATGCTATTTTTACCATGCCCATGCAGCGAACCAGGAGGCGCCCCCAAGAGATGGACGCCAACAACGTCGGCGGTGGTGTGCAACCGCGCCTGGCTGGCCTCCGCGAGATGTTGGCACGCCCTCCCTCTGGTAGACGAGAAGATGTCATCGTGGCGAAACCGGTGGCGGGAGTCGCAGAGGAGGCAGCACCGGCGTCAACGCCAGCGTCAACGAAGCGTAACTTTGGTTCCACCGGGACAACGTGTCAACAGGAAGGACCTCCGAGGACTAGCAAGAGACAAAAACAAGACCAAGACGCCCGTCTGCCGACAGCACCTACACTAGCATTAGCGCTGGCGCCAGCACCAGCATCGGCCCCGGGCCTTGCGAACGACACTCCACCGGTTCCTCCTTTATCTGGACCGTTGCTACCACCGGTTCGGCAGCAGCAGCGGCAACAGCAGCAGCAGCAAGTGCCACCACCAGCGCTGTCACCACCCCTTGCGAACAACAAGCAACTGCTGACGCCTCTTTCATCAATGGCACCAGTGGCACCGGCTAGGCTGCAACCGCAGCCGCAGCAGCCGCAGCCGCAGCCGCAGCCGCAGCAGCAGCAGCAGCAGCAGCAGCAGCAGCAGCAGCAGCAGCAGCAGCAGCAGCAGCAGCAGAAGCGAGTGCTAACATCCGTGCAAAGGACGGGGGGGCGTGGACTCTCTCGGTACCAGCCATTCCGCATCCCTTTCGGTTGCGGAGGACGAGCAATGAGGAGGGGCCTTGCGGGCAAGCGGTGGGCAGACGGGCACGACATTGAACTTGAAGAGGACGGCGTTGAGGATGGGGTGAAGACCCTTTGGAACCGGGAAAACGAGAAAGAAGAAGTTGGTTTGGGTGGAAAGCCGACGGTGGGTGGCTGCGAGGTTGGTGGAAGCTCGTCGCGACCGTCCCCGCCCTCCTCCTCGTCGTCTCTTGATGGAACGCAGGTTTGCAGTGCTTCCGATAAGAGCAGTCTACCTACAGTATCGCACGAAGATAGTACCAGCGTATTGAAAAATAACTTTGGCAGTGTTAAGTACGGTCACATACATAGATTGAACCTCTCGCCTAGCACATTCTTCATGCAGGCGAGGCGTAAGTATGTCAAACAAGGCGATGACCTCGTCGACGGCTAAGGGCAAACGTTGGAAACAAAACTAGACAGCAGATGCAGCGCTCCTCCCTCTCAACTGATATGCTCGATTGATTGCCTCAAAGGCAAAAAACAATGATTTAATGCCCGCACTCGTTTTCCCTCTCGTGAATTATCCATTCTGCGCGTGGAAACGTCAGGGCGGCCGTCCATGCTGGCCGCAGAGCCCATGGTCATCGTCAGTCTGGAGCCGAAAGAAAAATAGCGGCAAGGAAGACGGCGCCGGTGCCGGGAACCGCTTTGAAGTCATCGCAGAGGAATCTATCAACGCTGCGATGCGGGACCAAGAGGTGAAGCGCCGGTCCATGGACGACGCGCACACGGTGGAGTCCGACGCTCGGCACAGGTTAGTCAGGGGGTGGGGCGACACCATGGAAACATTGCACGACGTTCGTCGTTGGATGTTTTTCGTCAGGAGTGCCGACCCATGGATCTCACTGATGTTGCTGTCACTCACCCGCCAAACATTATTGCACGCAATACCTATCCACCAGCATCCCAAACTATGTACCAAGGCCTGCGAAAATCTCGTCATGAAGTTCGTGTCAATTTGTAGAGGGGTATCAGCAGGGGCTATTGCAGGCGGTAGTACCGTGGTGTGACGCACGTTGTCGGGATCGCCTGAAACATGCGTCATTTTAAAACCGAAAACTACGAGAAACGAAACAGAAAATCCCACATATACGGTGTCACCACCACCACCACCACCAAACAGGCTAGAGATGGCGAAGAACACCAAGAACGACATACACGAACGGCTGCAAGGCTGCCGGCAGCGGTGCCTCGAACCCACGAAGATGGAGCTACACCGGCTGGAAAAAATGTTGGACGACTGCTCCGACGTCTTACCCACCGCCGAGGAGAGCGCCAGGAGGGCGAGAGACGTGGCCCGCAGCGCCGAGAGCATCTACACCCTGGTGCGCCACAGCGCGTCCCACGCGAGGCAGGCGCACGAGTCTGCCCGAGAGGAAGTCCTCTTCCCCCCGCTACTCTGCGACGACTACGGAGCGCTTTTGAGGGCACAGCACCGCACCCGGGAGGCGCTCGTAAAGTCCATCGAATCCGTTAAGAACGCCCGGGGGCAGGTGGAGGGGGCTAGGGCGGCGGTCAAGAACGCGGTGGAGAGTATCGGTGGGTCTTTTCGTCCTCATGAGTCGTGTCCTCGACTTGCCACTACGGTTTCGGGGTTTCATGGTAGTATTGCTGCTGCTGCTGCTGCTGCTGCTGCTGCTGCAGTTGGTGCTGTGGTTGAGGATGATGATGGCATAGCCGTGGGTTGTGCAGCGCTAGGCGTGAGAATATGGCTTTCCGGAAGGGCATCGAGCTTGTCTGGAAGTAATAAAGTACGTACAGGACAGACGTTTGATAATATGTCGTTTGTTGTGAACCACCTTTCCCCGCCAATTGCGGCAACGATATCGTGAGAGACATGTGCGCGCGTCAACCATACCGCATCATGAGGCCCCGCGTAGACCACCCGAAAGGAAAGGCACATAGGCACATATTTCCGACGTATTGCACGAAAGACTCTCGCTTGCTGTCGTCGACTTCACCATTCCGACAAGAAAAACTACGGACATCGCTAGGTCATTTGTCTTCTGTCTGTCTGTCTGTCTGTCTGTCTGTTTGTTTGTGTTGCACAACCCCTGGCACTTTGAGCAAACCACCGAACATCCACACATCGCACGAAAAACAATGCCCCGCAGGCGTTGAACCGTTTAAACGAGCCTTCTTGGCCGACAAAGTCGTCGAGGCCAAGCGCCGGTACAAGGAGGTCAGTACCAACTACGAGGCCCTCGAGGTTGAACGCAAGCGGGCCGTAAACAAGGAAAAGAAGGCGGCGGCAACGTACAAGGAGGCCGCCATTCGGGATGGCGCAGCCATCATCGCGTTTCAGGCCGCTCAGCGCCAAACGGCGAGAACCCTTGCTACTTTCAGCTTGCTAACTTGCGGGCGCGGTGGGAGCAAGCGTGGCGAAGCGGAAAGGTTCCTGGCGCGGGAGGAGGAGGAGGAGGAGGAGGAGGGGGCGGGG